GAATCATTTTTAGATAAAAGAGCAGACTGAAGAATTAGTCAGTGTTTTATTTTCACATTCTGTGACAATAGTTCATTTTCTCCTTATTTTAAAACCTCTTCATCCGAGAAACTAGGATTTTTTAGAAGAACATATACATTAATAGCAATATTGTTGTATAAAATTCATTTGGTTCCCACTGTTACCAACCTTACTGACGCCCAAGTAAATATTGGGCCAGTATCGCCAATGCCGATAAAGTGGATGCATCATCAAATTGTGAAATCTGAATGAATTAGTTAGAACCCAGCACATCTACTTGTAGTTTAAATATAGTAATCATACAATTTCCCTTTCGCAGTTTAAGCGAAAGGGTAATTATATCCAGTCAAATCTGAGCCAATATTGGTGTATAAAATTCATTTGGTTCCCACTGTTACCAACCTTACTGACGCCCAAACTGATTCTTTAGCAGTTACTGGAAAACTAATGCAAATGACATCAGTCTGACACAGAAAAGTGGTGACAGCTGCTTTTTCTGAAAAAAATAAAAATGTATATTCATTTAGTTTTTAATAAAAACAAAAAATAAACCTAAAACAACTGTACCAAAGGACCAGAAATAATTATGCTGAAAATGGAAATCCAAAAAGAGATTTTTAGATTTAAGAAAATGCACATTTTGAAAAATCTCCTCATGTTTTGAGGTTGTTCCTTCAAATCATCAGGTAGCAGAGAGACAAAATCTTAATGTTGAAATGCTGAACTCTGAAAGTGCCTGCAGACTGCCATCTCAGGTCTCGAGCTAAATACAGATGACGATGACAACAGAATCGTTTTCCATATACAGTTATGTTGAAACTGTGACGATGACAGAGGGGGAGTTAGAACATTTCCAATAACAGCATCACTGTGAGTGAAAGGGTGATCCACATGATTGCCATTCATATGATGCTCTGCTGCTTTCCTTCTGTACAACTTCCTGTTTCTCCCATGTGTCATTGCCCTGAGGCTTTGTGACTCATGCTGTGATGAGCCTTGTCAGTCATGCTGTGATAGCGGGAAACCAGAAGCTGTGTTGAAACAGTGTTCCCATATCCTGTGATGGTGGTGGGGACTTCTCCTATTGCATCCACACACATGATGTGTCCTCCATTGTTATACTGATAAAAGAAAAAGAAAGAAAATATTATTATCAAAGAACACTGTCTGCATCTCCGCCAACTGTATGAAACATTTAGATTAACTGGTTAACTATCTGTACACGCCCTGCTTCATGGAGTCAAACTCCACACGAACTGCTAACAAATACAAAGTCCTGCTAGTGCAAGGGAAGTTATCTTATATAGAATCAAACACAAAGCGAAACAATGGTCTGTTTTGCAAACGTAAATATAATTTTTGGAAAGTGTTCTTGCCAAACAGTAACAATGAAAAATTCTCTTAATGATAAGGGATTCCAGGAAAGGTTAATATACCACCACGCCTGTGTGCTGGCCTTGTTGCTCTGTGCTTGTTGTCCAAAAACTGCTAAAACACAGCCAGTGTGGCTCACTGGAACATTCCTTTATTATCATGAACACGCACACTGGAGTTTAGTTTAACTCAGTCACACACAAACCACAAAGCTTCGAAGACCATGTTAATCTGCTACTAAAAACAGCCTACTGCCCTACTGTTTGATTAGTCACACTGAGCCCTTTTACAGTCTAACTGTAAATTTGAGCTGTTGTCAAAGATGGAATCTTAAGAAGGAATGGGTGGACACAGGTGCCACAGACAGCAGAAGTGATAGAAGGTCATCACTTTTGTATTAATGTGAGATTGAAAAAGGGGGGTGGCAGCAGCCATTTTGACATGAGGAGGTAAGGTACACACAAAATGAGTTATGGTTTCGTTCTGTTGAGTGTGTCAAAGCTCTCTCAGTGAGCCACTTCAACTTGTAGAGGCAGTAGGCACTAGTAGAGGCAAGCAAACAACTGTTAGCTGGATCTGGATCTGTCAATCATAGCACCCAGGCCTGATGGAGGGCTGGGTTACAAATAAATAAGTAAAAATCAGCCACTATACACTTGTTATGTAGGTGGAAATGTCTTTTGTAACAGGCTGTAAACATTAACGTTATCACTAATTTTTTTTAGATGGGCATAGACAGGTTAAGAGCCGGTCTTCCATAATGTAGCAAGCACAACATCCCAGGTTCAATCTCAGGAACAGACTCAAAAGTCCACAGAAAAGTCCACATTATTAAACACGTACGTTCAACAAGCTTTAACCTGCATTGGTTCTGTTTAGATTTCTCTCTCTGATCGTGTGTCACCAGAGTTCAAATGAGTTGAGCTCTCAGCTAACGGCACTGAACATGTTTGCAGTAAATATACCTCAGGCTGCTCACTTCCTGTGCTGACATGTTTTCTCCTGCTGGGAGTGTCTCTAAACATACTGCGCTGCGCTAACAATTTAGCCTAGTACTATGAAGCCAGGATGCTTTCAGAAAAACAACTCTTGTAACGACTTCACTTTAACAATAACCAAAGAGCAAAAAGAAAAAAAAAAAACACATCCATGGAAACTGACTGGCACAAACCAAAAGAATTCCTCTTCATCCCCCCATAACCACATCCTAATCCCTGGCAGACTGGAGCCTGAGGACGAGGCCTGTCTGCTGTTTATCTCTAAGAAATCTTGTGACCACACCTCTAATCTTTACCTCTGCATGTGCTTGTTGTGTGTGTTTAATGGCCTGTCTATTGTCATTCAGGTGCGAGCATAGGTGTGGCTCTTTTTCAGAATTACAGTCATTGACATCAGTAAACACAGGAAGCAAATCCAAGAGTAGGGCAGGAATGGCATTATTCTCTGGTTTTACCTGGTAAAACTATGTCAATGTTTGGTACAAAACCTTCCCCAAATGTTTTTTCAGTAACTGACACACCTCTGTGCCTTTCAGTTAAGCTGTTCCACTGCAAACAGAAGCAAGAGCCTGGCTTATCAGCAGCTGTAAAACTGCCTCACTCTCTGCTGACAGCAGAGGCTTGCTAAACAGGAACAACTGGCTCGCAAGACAATAATATCACATGTGCTTTTATTTCAGGTCTCTTTATCGTTCACTTTAAAGTGTCAGAAAGCACAAACAATACCAGCAGTCAAGTCATGCATATTAATGTTTTCTTATTCACAAAATCCTTCCAGCTCCTGTATGTTTCACTTCTCCATAACTGCAAACAGCATGCAGTTAGCATTTAGCTAAAGAGCCAAACATTTTCAAGAGCCAGTATATCTAAAGGAAGTCTGGCCCAGAAACTCAACTCAACTCCATTTGTAAATGTTTGCCAACAAGTTTATCCAGGTGACAGTCCCAGTTTTGTTTCCAGCTGCCTTGAAAGAACAGATAATTATGTAGAACAGGTTTTACGTAGCTTGTTGTTTGTTTCTGTTTGTTATTGTTTCCATTTTCACTGTCTTTCTGCGTAGTTTGCAAATTGAAGTAAACCATTTGTAAACACTGGTGTATTTAAAGCTTTAACTAAGGCAGGAAGAGTGACTACAAAACAAACAGTTTAATCCACAGTTAGTTTATCGCGTATATCTGGCTAATAACCTGCTACCAAACACCCAGCAGACAGACAGGAACATGTTTGAGTCTGAATTCCCGGAATACAGACTACAGACGGCCCACTTGTCTGATCTTGTTTGTTGGAGACTTTGCTTTCAGTTTGATTCCTTGTTTTTTATGGAAGTCCTAATCAAAATGGCTTCAGAAGAAAATCACAAAGGAAAATTTGTAAAAAGAGTTGACAGTGATTCTCTAAATCAGGGGTGTCCAAATCCAGGCCTCAAGGGCCGGTATCCTGCAGGTTTTAGATGTGTCCTTGATCCAACACAGCTGATTTAAATGGCTAAATGACCTCCTCAACATGTCTTGAAGTTCTCCAGAGGCCTGCTAATGAACTGATCTTTTGATTCAGGTGTGGTGACCCAGGGTGAGATCTAAAACCTGCAGGACACCGACCCTCGAGGCCTGGAGTTGGACACCCCTGCTCTAATGGTCAGCATTATTAGAGACCCTTTCACATTAGAGGCCTGTTTGATTCAATGTTCAAATCAAACTTTGTTGTTTAAAAGGGCGTGATGACATCACAGTTGGGGTGGCACACAACTTAAATCTTTTCAGCCTCTTTAAGAGGAGATTGTTGTTCCTCTTCTTGTTTAGGTTGATTTCGTTCAGTTTTTTTGTTTTGTTTTTGGTTTCACTATTGCTATTAAAAATATTCCAAAGATATTGTTAAACAAAATATGTAGCTTGCTTAGTGCAGTTGATATTTGCACACAAGAAGTTAATTCTGAAATTAAAGTTCTTTGGATATAATAAAACTTTAATATGAAAAAGAATATAAAAAAGAAGAAAAAACAACCTAAATGGCAATCCTTCTACCTTTGCCTTCTCTAAATCATGGACAAAGCAAAAAATTGCAAATATCTTTTCCAAAACAACAAATTAACGATATTTTTCTCGTATTATTTCACACATGCATGACCGACAGACTAAATTTTGTAAAGTGAGTGAGTCGCTGTGCTGGCCTGACACAGTGCACTGAGAGCTCAGACCTATAAGTGAAAGCAACATAGTCAGCAGGCTGGACTTCACCGTCTTTAAATAACATGGTGTTACTCCACCAACAAGCTGTGACTTGCAGTGACAGGCAGCCGGGAAGCCTGAACCAGTCGCTGCCCACTGTTGAAATAGGAAAGTTATTATAAAGGTCTATATGGTTTCACTTTTCTTTCCTGTCAGACATGTTAAATGAGGTCGTTTTCTGTTAGTGGTTATACTAATGCATGTGAATTTGTCGCCATCTAGTGGGCAGCAGTGTATATGAATAACATTCAATTGGGCAGACTTTCTTCTTCATGCATGATCAAAATGAACCGAAGTTTACAAAGCAAGAGCACCAAATTAGAGTGTTGTGTTCCTATGCTTTCATGATAGTGTATAAAAAACAGTCCCAGTTTCAACCTTGTGATTTTCAATGCTTAATTTTATTGGCTTTGACTGAAAGGATACAAGAGGCAGCATAGCAAGAGCAAGAGATAGACAGTTACTGTAAAGTAAAAAAAAAAAAGAGCAACAATCCCATTTTCCTTTCTTATACATGTATAGTACATATACATTATTTCATTTGTGTTTTATGCAGCAGGCCATATTAAAAGAACTGTGACTATACGGTATTGGGCCACACTGTTAAAAAACTTCCTGGTGATTAACACTGGCTGTTTTGTCACAATGCCATTTTCTGGTGGGTAACCTGGGTTCCCAGCACTCATGTGGTTCTTATGTTGAGACATAAGGTAATATGTCTATAGGTAATAAAAAACCGATATTTGACAAATGTAAAGGTTGGTGCAATGACAGAGATAGTTCTGTTTTCTGATCTTTAGGCTGAATAAGGATTTCTCTGAAGTCAAAGCGGACATGCGTTGATAGTTTTTGCAGGAATATATTTATCTGTGTTAGTCAGTCTATTTGCTGGGAAAAGCTCACTAAAAATGATATGAATAAAAACTATAATTGCAGTAAAACCCTGTTATTAAGTAAAAATAATATGCAGCACCAAGTATATTTTAAACCAGATAATATTGACTGGATTGTGTTTTCAATTCATGAAGTGGTAACTGGATCTGAAATATCATTTGGCATGCAACAGCAAAATGATCCCTGTCATCATACACTTCCTCTACACAACATCCACTTACAAGTTTCTTCTACAAACTTGTAAGTGGATGTAATAGTACTTTATTTTGAGTGTGCATCAAGACAAAGTAACAGTACTTAATTTCTTTGGAATTTAAAGATACTTTTGGACATAACCAACTGAACTTTTATGTTCGGATACCAATACTCTTAATTAGTTATATATGTTTCAGTTACTATAAAGAAGTATATTCCTCAGTGACAGCATGATCATGTTCCAACACATCATCAAATCTATTGTTTATGCAGCTGCTGACTGTGGTTTACACCATTTGAATCTTTTGTTTTCTTTGACAAACAGAGCAAGAAAATCACTTGAAGGAGTGCTCGCTACAATAATCATTGAAAAGAAAAGCAGCAGATACACAGCTCCCCCTGGAAGTTTTCTAAGACACATATGCAGAGCTTCCCACCACCTACAAAATGCTTACATGTGAATAATAACTATGCTGGGAATTTATTGTCACATGATCAGTGACAAACCAGCTTTGATCATTTTAACTGCTCATTCATGCATTCACACCCATTCACATAAGCACTTTTTTCTATGTAAGTGCTTTCTATCTAACATTCACACATGCATATGAAGAGAGCGTCATGTAGAATCAGCCAGTGATAGTTGTCTCTGATGTCTTCGTGCTCTGTTTTGGGTAAAACACAACAAAAGTTTCTAGCATATCAATACGGAGCCACCAAACCAGGGTGAACAATGTTTTTCTTCAAGGGGTCAAACTGACTCAGGATCAGTGGAAATGCAGTAAGTGGAACAAATCAGAAATTACTGTTTGTTTATTATTTTAAAAAGCTCCATTTTTGTTTCAATTTTGTTCTATCCAGAAATGTAGATTCTGTAACAGTAAGGTAAGAGTGCCAGCTCCTTGTGGGTTAATTAAGAAGCACTACTTCTTGTCAGAAGTTAGGTGATGTTAATATTAATTCTAGAAATGTTACAATGGGGGAAGTGATGACAATTAGTGTAGTTCACTATTGGACAATTCAGTTTAAAAAATGAGATGTAGTTAAACTTACCAAACAGGAACAGGAGACCTGAAGCTTTTCCAGGACTACTGGCTCTCCACCACCTGTTATTCAAACACAGGCTGTTAAAGTGCCTCTAAAAACAACAACCGACTGCCAACTACCACATTTTGAAAACAAGGGGCAGCATTTTCACAGTGACAATGTTGCTACTGCTATCCTGTTTTTACTTTTGATGTTGGTTTTTAGCCCTCAGTTAATCAAGAAACTTTACGTTTTTCCAAGGTCAATACTGGACATACAAATATCTTTTTAATATGTAGCCTGGTTTTGTACAACATGAAAGCACAGCCCTCCTGATATGGCACAACATCTCATTAACACACCTTGTTTCTCTGCATTATTTTGATAGCTTTAAGCTAATTTTGGATAATCCTGAACTACTATTAAAACACTATTCATGAAAAGTGTTCTCAGAAAACGTGTCAAGGAAAGAGCATTTCATTCCTTTGTAGTAATGCTGACATCACCACACTGAGAGCCACGGTGCCCAACACTGGGCCAGCCCAGAATCTATTTGACACCTCGGCTAAATTTGCAAACGTGGAGTGATTATTAAGACCCTCTAGTGAAAAAGAGAACATTGATGTTATCTCTGACCTTGATGATTACTTGTGCTTGTCCAGATAACCCTTCTCCCTCCATATCTGCTGCCTGTACTGTCAGAGTGTACTGTGGATATTTCTGTTGGAGGAGAAATATAATAAGTTCAGCTCATCAACAAGAAGGATAAAACATTCTATCATCAGTTTGTATCCAAAGGAGACTCTGATGAGATACTTCTCTTTTTAAAGTTCAGTGGAATATGCTAACTAATTTCTGTTTACATAGAACTGACAGTGTCATGTGACAACATCCCAGCAGGACAAAGTTTTCAAGTTGATTATTGGCAACAGGAATATATGGAATCAAGCTTTTTTCTGAAACCAGAAAGAGCTGACAGACACTTTGGTACATTTTAATGTTGCAGATTCATCTAATGCTATAATGCTGTCCACCCTATGAAGCTAACCACTAACTGTGTGGTAGCATAGGCAGAATGAGAGCCAGGGAGTTTATTTTCCAGTTGCACTCAGAAGAGACAGTTTTATTTCATTTTTGAACATATATCTTTGAGACAGCACCAGATCATATTTAACTTTGTCTACACTGACACACCTGTGTTAGCCTACTTGAATTAGTGGACATAAGTGGACAGATATCAGCTAAACAAGTAAAATGGAATGAAGTCGTGATCTTTTCCTGCTTCTTTGATACAATTTGCTGTTTGTCAAAGCTGTTTTTAATTTGTAAAAAAGTGGTACAGGGGAAAAGAAAAGTTAAAACTGCCAACTTAATAGTTGTTCTTTTTTTTTCTAAATCCCAGTCATAAGTGGGTCCCCTTATCCCGAGCTGGCCAGTGTGCTTACTGTCACTGAATGCGTTAGAAGGCTAACCTCTCTGTCTAGTCCAGTGCCAGCAACACTGATGGCTCCAGTAACTGAGTTGATTTCAAACATGTTGTCACTGGGCAGCTGCGGGTCCTGCCTCAGAATACGGTAACGGATATCTGAGTTGGCATTATCTGGTTCATCAGAATCTGTAGCCTCGACCTTAATCACTTCAGAACCTGGAGAGAAAGAATTCAGAAGTAGGAATTAAGAACAGTCATTCAGGCTTTGTTTATCTTTTATTTATAGTAGGTTTACAATGTACACATCCCACTTTACTGGAGCTAATTACAAATAAAGTACCTTGTAACTATTAGCAACCGATTCCTTTTTCTCCTGTAAAAGTGAAACAAGCACACATGACAAGCAAGCTTAAATTAAAAACACTATCAGTACCTTGTGCTGAGTTTTCAGCAACTTGTCCCTCAAAGGTGTTTTGAGAGAAGACAGGTTTGTTGTCATTCTGGTCGATGACTTTAACTGTAACACTCATGACCTCCTGGTGATCTCCACTTTCTGCCACGACATGCACTTGTAGCTGCCAATATACAATCACATTAAAATTATGCTGTTCAAAAAAAGAATAAACAATGTACATTAATGCTTTTATTCAAAATAATAGGAACATTTTGGGGCTTTATTGGATAGAGAAAGTGTAGATAGACAGAGAGAAGGAAAGACATGCAGCAAAGGGCTGCGGGTCATACTCAAACCACACCTGTTGCTGCTGCTGTGGTAAATAAAATAAAAAAATCTGTCAGCACAACTCTTTGGGCTTAAATTATTAGAAAGACTTCTGATAGCTCATTGCTCAGACTATGTTTTAATTATAAAACAAAAGGTTATAATCTATTTTCTTACAAAGAACTACCATAAATATCTTTGGTAGATAGTGAAACATCCACACTCTCCTGTTGTCTTTCTGTGACTTAATACTTTGATGCAGTATAAATGGGAGAGAAGCTATAAAACTTGTAAAACGTGTTCATCTGGACGTAACATTTAAGTGGAAGAAATATTGGCCATGAGTACCATCCAGAGAGAGTTGGGGAATGGCTGCAACCACAGCATTGTAAGATGTTGAAAGATGGTGGACAGGGAGGACGCTGGGTTGAGCAGGAGTCAAGGAGCCTGTTTATGTGAACCACCTCTGAACTGAAGAGGGGGCCTAAGGTTTACATCTCTCACTGCAAATTCATTTGTATTTTAATTTAGATTCAAATAGCATTTACATTCTGAAGCAGTAACCTTATTTTATTCTTATGTTAATACATCAATAGATTCAGTTACTTTTGCATAAAAACACTGCTTTCAAGTGGTCCAAGAGTACATTTCAGAGCTTGTACTTTTTCACTTTCACTTAAGTAAAGAGGTTGATTCAGTACTTTTACCTTTACTGGAGTATTTTTTAAACACAAGAAAAATGTCACTTTACCTTATAATGGGCTACTTCCTCTCTGTCGACTGGCTGTGTGACATACAGACTGCCAGTGTCTCTATTCATGGTGAAAAGGGCAACAGGAGGCTGATCAGCTCCTGGACCAGTGATGCTGTAATGTAAATTCTGCTTTTGATGTTCATCAGACCGTATCTAAACAAAACACACCAGGATTAGGTTAAACCACTCTCACTGACTACAGTTATAATATTGCACAACAACTATTGTAAAGCAGTTGTGCAGAGGTCTTTAGCTGTACTTTTTTTTAAAAACATTATTAGCCCATTATTAGTTTTAACAAATGTTACGTAATACACTATGGACATAAAAAAAAAATACATAATGATAAAACAGAAAACAAAACAAACCATAACAGAAGGTAAGGGCAGATATACAAATCAAGTTAGCACTTCAAGCCGTTAAGTCCACAGTGTATACGTTACAGTTCACCAAAACGCTGTAGAATTTTGACTATATGGACCAAAACTTGTCCAGTTTATTTCTTAATGCACAAGTTATTTCCTCCATAGATAGTATAGATGTCAGTCCATTAAACCACTGAGATAGTCCACATATTTTTAGATTTTTCCAACACATAGCAACACAGCGCTTGGCTTCCAAAAGTCGATCGTTAACAGAGCTCTATTGTTTGCAGCAAGTACAAAATTATTTGTGTATATATTTAAAATACATATGTTGGGACTGAGTGGAATCACATCACCAATGATTGGACAGATTTATTACCTTTTCCCAAAAAACGTTCACATGTGGACATTCCCATATACAGTGAAATAAAGAACTCCTATCCACGCCACACTTAATACAGGTGTCTGGGATGTTTGGGTTAAAATGATGCATTTTTGATGGAGTAATATATTGTCTTGTTAACCATTTATGTTGAAGTAGTTTGGATTAATTGTCTGACTCTGGGCCAAGAAGCATGATTTATACCAATCGTCATCTGATATATCCATTTGCAAATCATTCCTCCAAGCCTCTAAAATAGACTGCGTTGATTCTTTGGAATTTTCCATAAATAATTTGTACAATGCAGAAACTTGGCCTCTCTTATTTAGATGATTTATAACTGTATTCTCTAGAGAGGAGTAGGTGGGGATTTCAAAGCTGTTACCTTGTGTGGTTAAGATAACATTTCTTAATTGAAGAAATTTAAAAAGAAATGTTTGACAGGAATAGAAAATGTACTTCTAAGCTGTTCAAAAGCCATAAGAGTATTATTCCTAAACATATCAGACACTTTTCTTATACCTTGACCGAACCAAAGTTTAAAGCCTGCATCCGCCCTACCAGGAGGAAAGCTGTTATTTCCAAATATTGGAGTGAACCTAGAAAGTTGTGACGTTTCTCCCAAGTAGTTATGTGTTTCATACCAGATCATTACAGTGTTTTTAAAAAAAGGGGTTCTTAGTTTGCTTAAGTAGTGCTTTCCTGTTGGCTGAGTAAAGATATAAGTTAGGGGGAATTTTGATTTCTGTAGACTGCATAGAAACTCACGCTGGAGTCTGCTCATTAGCAAAATAAAACATTGCCACTCTGATTTGAGCAGAAGTACCACGTTAAATTAGGAAGTTGTAAACCCCCTCTTTCATAAGGAAGGTATAGTAAGGAGATTCTGAGCCTTGGTCTTTTGCTATTTCAGATAAAGTTTTGGAATTGTTTTTGCAAATCTTAAAAGAAAGATTTTGGTCGGGAGAGAGATATTGATTGAAAAAGGTAAAGATATTTGGGCAAAATTTACATTTTTAGTATATTAATACGATCAGTTAAAGATATAGGTAATTTCGTCCATCTATTTAGGAGTGTAGTAACTGACGTCGTTAAGGAATTATAATTGGATGCAAGAATATTTTCAATTGAGGGAATTAATTTCACACCTAGATAAGTAAACCCATGTTCAGATTGCAGAAAGGGAGGATTTTGCAGAAACTGGAGGACTTTGTCGTTCATTTTTATTCAAAAATAATATTTCAGACTTTTTATTTTGTAACCAGAAAATGTACTACGGTAAATGTATTAATGAGACTTAATATGGATGGTATTGATTTGTTTAAATTGGTGCAGAACAGGATCATATCATCTGCATATAGGGCAATACGGTGGTCAACATTGCCTACTTTAATTCCTGATATGTTTTTATGATTCCAAATTGGCATTGCAAGAGACACAATTGCCAAGGTGAACAAGAGAGGTGACAAAGGGCACCTTGTGTAGTACCACGATAGAGTCTGAATGGTGTGGAAAAAAGACCGTTAGTTAAAATCTCTTCTTGAGGATTGGAGTATATCAATTGAATCCATTTTAAAAATCTGTTTCCAATACCAAACTTTCTCAAAACTTCAAATAAAAATGGCCATTCAATCCTGTCAAAGGCTTTTTCATCATCCATTGAGATTAATGCATTGTCTCTGGTCTATTTTTTCTCATAAATGATCTTCATGACCCTCCGTATATTGTGAAACCTCTACCTCCCCTGGATAAAGCCATTCTGGTCTGAGTGAATCATATTAGGCAAGAGTGTCTCTAGTCTCGTAGCTAATAATTTGCAAAGTATCTTTTAATCAACAGTGAAATTGGTCTATAAGAACTGCAATTAATTGCTGGCTTTCAATAAAAGGTTTCAGTAAAAGTGTAATTGTTGCAATATTACATGGAGGGGGGGAGAGACCCAGATTCAAATGATTCCTGATACATATCCAATAAGGGCTGGATCAAACTGTCTTTAAATATGTTGTATATTTTTATTGGTATCAGTATTGGTATAATCAGGTCCAGTTTTACCCCCTTTCATGTTCCTTATAGCATTATAATTTCTTCTACTCTTATATTAAGCCCTAGTTCATCCATACCGTTCTAGGAAAATGCAGCTGATCTAAAAAAAAAAAAATCATTTTTTTAATTAAAATGAATTTAAATGCTCAGTTTTGTATAGCTGTTTATAAAAAGTGCAAAAAGAGTCATTAATATGTTTAGGATCAGCTGTGATCTGTCCTTCATCTGTAGTTACAGAATTTATTGTTCGTCTGAGCCTGTTAAATACGCCAAGCCAGTATTTTACTTGCTTTTTCATCCTGTTCATAATATGACTGTTTCAGTCTTATTAAACTGTTAGTAGCTTTATTTAATGACAAAATATTGAATTTAGCTCTGAGTTTATTTAACTCTAGAATTGGAGCATTAGATTTGGATATAAATATCTCTTCCTCAATGTCTTTTGCCCTCTCAGGAAAGCCTCCCATTTTAAAGTAGCCGTGGTTTGAGTTGTATTATAAGCAAAGTAATAATCTATTTGCTTTCCAATGTGTTCCAAGAATTCTGGATCTTTCAACCAGAAAGATTGCAGTCGCCATCTAGTGGTAAATAATGGTAAGTTAGGTAAATTTAGTTGAAAGGAAACGGTGGAGTGATCTGATATAACAATACTATCATACCAGGATTTAGTTACCATGGATACCAAGGATGCAGAAAGTAAGAAATAGTCAATTCTGGAAAAGGTCCCATGAGTGCTAGAGTAGCAAGAGAAAGTAATCTTATCTGGGTGCATGTTTCTCCAAACATCAACTAAATTGAATTCAGTCATAAATTGTAGTATTTCCTTTCTAGACTGCTTATGAGCTGAATTGACTCCACTTGATTTATCAACACTTGAATAAAGTGTGCAATTAAAATCTCCCCCAATAATGATTTATCCTGGAAATAACAAAACAGATTTCTAAAAAAAGATGGGTTGTCATTATTGCATTCATATGTATTAAGTTCAATTTGTGAGGCTATCTCACATTGGACAATAAAATATCTGCCATAATAATCACTAATAATGTTAACAAGGTTAAATGGTACTGAGTTATGAATTAGTGTAATTACGCCTCTGGATTGAGAATTATATGAAGCATGAATAATGTGACTCGACAAATTAAAGCTCAAGTAATATTTTTACAAGCGACCCACCTAACTGCTGATGACACTATTAGAGTAAGGAGACAATGGCCGGATTCGATTCATAACTTGTTTCAGTTTAACCAGTTTATTCAACCTTCGAGTAAACCAACACGGAGACATCCTGTGCAGAAACAAAAGTCTGAAGTTAATTTCAGAATCAGATTCTCTTACTTCAATTAACTTAATAGGATAGGGTCCTCTGTTGTTCTCAGTGAAGAAAATAGCTGGAAAAACACGTGCAGTGTTTGGTTCCACGTTGCTGCTGCTGTCAGGAGCATTACTGCTGCCATCTGTCACCGTGAGGATGACTTTGGTTTGTCCAGTTAACCCTTCTCCCGCCATATCTGATGCTTGTACTGTCAGAGTGTACTGTGGATATTTCTGGTAAGATACAGACATCAGCTCATCAACAGGAAGGTAGAAACACTGACATCGGTTTACAGACTGCAACACAGCCTTCAGACGGACTAAAGCTCTTCATCTATGAAGGCCGATTCTGCTGAAAAGCTGAAGTTTAACTTGTTTAATATTTTACTTATGACAAACATGATGCTTTTGAGAGGCGTGACCAAACTTAATAAAATAAAGTATTCCTTGACCATTTGGCACGAGGCTGTTTGTTGTTGCTCTGCGAAGTCAGTCGCAAAGAGTTTTACGATGCTGCACCAAAAACAGATTTCTCTGATCTGCCATAGTTTGCATGGAAGACACAGATTTATCTGACAAACTATTTGCCAAGTAGGAATTGTGTGTCCAGAGGCATGACACAAACCAGAAATGTAGACTGATAAACTATAACTATACTTCAGAGGCTGTGTCAAATTTGAGTTTCATTATCAAAAAACAAAACATGTTTTTTTGCAGCACCCTCTTTGTGACTGATCTCTAGCAGTGACAGGCAGACTACTGATCCTGATTCATTACAAAATGTTTTTTCAGCCCTTAGGTGTAAAAGGACACTTGTGTTTTAAATGCGTTTAACAGGTCTTACCTCTCTATCCAGTCCTCTACCAGTGATTCTGATGCTTCCAGTAATTGGGTTGATTTCAAACATGTTGTCAGTGGGCAGCGGTGGGTCCTGGTTCAGAATACGATAGCGGAGCTCTGAGTTGTCAGTATTTGGCTCATCGTCGTCTTTGGCCTCAACCTTAACCACCTCAGTCCCTGGAGTGGAGGAAATAAAAAAGAAGTTCCTGAAGGTCTTCACACTGCTTCATTTACAAGATTTTCTGAATAAAATGGACGTAATGCAAAACGTCTGCTAATTTCCTTCCAACCCAATTCATTCTCTGGTGCTTTCGGCGTCATTTTGATTATCTTTAAGTCTCTGGTATCTTGAGATTCCTTAAATATAGTGGACGTGGAGAAACCTCCATCACGGATAACAATTATAAATAATAATGGATTGTATTTATATAGCGCTTTTCGGGGCACTCAAAGCACTTTACAATTCCACTATTCAGTCACTCTCACATTCACACACTGGTGGAGGCAGCTACAGTTGTAGCCACAGCTGCCCTGGGGCAGACTGACAGAAGCGAGGCTGCCATATCGCACCATCAACCCCTCTGGCCAACACCAGTAGATGGTAGGTGAAGTGTCTTGCCTAAAGACACAACGACCGAGACTGTCCGAGCCGGGGCTCGAACCGGCAACCTTTCAGTTACAAGACAAACTGCCAACTCTTTGAGCCACGATCGTCCAAAAACAATAAGGTTTCTATACATACCAATGGCCGTGGCCTCAGCAACATTTGCGTTGTACTCCACCGTAAAATAAGGTTTGTTGTCGTTCTGGTCGATCACAATGACTTTAATCTCCATGGGTTCCTCAGCTTGTCCTGCTCCGTCAACCACAGCATGTGCTTCAAACTACACAGGCAGAAGATTTTAAGTTTAGATTCGCCCACACACACACTTTTCCAGTGGGGATCAAAATGCAATAATCAGGTACGAAGTGAGGATGATTACCGTGTAACTGGCTGTTTGCTCTCTGTCGAGTGGCTGTGTTACATACATATTGCCCGTCTCTCTGTCCATTGTGAAACGATCAACAGGAGGCAGATCAGCTCCAGGACCAGTGATGCTGTAAAAGAGCTTCTTTTTTTTATCGTCACTAGAGCGGATCTGGAAAAACAAACAAAAACAAATGAAAAACACAACAGGACTAATTAAGATCACTCTCACCATCTAAAGTAACTGTTAAATAGTAAAGAGGCTGTGCATTAGACTCAAATTCAAGAGATTTCTGGTTATTTTGATATATAGATCAGAAGGACTCCTTGTGATCTCAAATCAAAAAGATTGTTAGATTCTCTAAGCATTTTGGGCACACTATAATTACTCATTGTAAATAATCTGAGTTATTAGCGTAGTGTTATCGTCAACCAATTTACTCCAGTTTTAGTTAATTTTGTGTGTCACTGTTGCCAAGTTCAAAACACTCCATACCGCAGGATTAAGACCCTATAGTATTAGAAAGAAATCACAACAATCATTGTAAGGATTGTAAGAAAAACAAGACAGCCCCCATAATCTTATAATTACAGTTGTGTATTTGGTTAAAATTTCCGATTGTTCAAATATGTTATTTTCTTTAGTTGTAAGATAATGTGTGCCCCAGTCTCAAATGAGGAGAATTATTCCTCTGTTACACCACAAGAGGGACCATCTCCTGAAATGAGCAGCTCTGGCTGCCAGGCCACTCACCATGAGGCAGTGTGCCTAACGAACGCTGTGTGAGACTGTGTACAAACCTGTAACTATGTGCATATAGTTGCAGAATATACAGTAAAGGCAGACGCACAAAGCTAAACTGGTTTCTATTTCTTTTAATCTAAGTGTGCAACAGGATCATTCAATAAGGCATCTTGTGATCTCTGAATAAGGAATTATTTTGATATCAAATCTTATTACTGAGTTTCGTTGTGGCACACGTGGGACAGTTTTCTCTCTCGCTGATCATCTAACTAATAATCAATGAAATCTGAATGCTGCTTATTTTAACAACCAAACCTGACTGATGTATTACTGGAGACATGAGTAACTGCAGGTTAGTGGTTCTTTTTTTGTCAAAATCTGTTCTCTGTTGTTGTTGTTGTTGTTTTTAAATATAATTTTGTTTTACATTTATATGGATGAATCTGAGACTGAATGGTTGTCTGTGTCTCTGTGTGTTGGCCCTGCGACAGACTGGCGACCTGTCCAGGGTGCACCCCGCCTCTCGCCCTCTGACAGCTGGGAAAGGCTCCAGTGCCCCCCGCGACCCTGGAACGGATAAGCGGAAGCGAATGGATGGAGGGATTTATATGGATGCTTCCTGTTTGTTTTTGTTTCCCGAGTCTTTAATTCAATAGTTTTTGGAACAAATAATCTGCCCATTGTGCACAGCCACGTTTTAACTGGTACAATCACACACAGACATTTTACAGTTGTTCTTTTTCAGTTCAGTTCAGTTCAGTTCATTTTTATTTCAAACATTTCAAACATGTGCCTTCACAATCATTACAAAATATCATTCCATTATTTGTTTGAAAAGGAGTAGGCTGAAGTATTTACTTATTTGTCCCTACCCCCTCAGTTGTTCTTTTCAAAACAGTATTTTAATGATTGCCAAACCGAGTTGCTTTCAAGTGGCATTTGAAAATGACAGCAAATGTCAAAACGAGTATACCCACTGTAAAGAAAGCCAAATGGAAAAGATCCTGTCGCGAAAACAACAAATTGAAATACACTTTAGAATAAATGTTTTGCCACAAGATAATTGAGGTCCCCTTACCTGAGCTACTTTCAGGGGATAGGTTCCTCTCTTATTCTCAGTAACACTGAGTGGAGGAATAATCCAGTCTCTCTTCCTCCTCCTCAGCCCTTCACCTGGCTTGGGAAACTGCAGAACAGGCACCCGAGCATCAGCTGCATTCTGGGAAAACAAGCAGACATTTTATAGAAGAACACTTCCAGAAATGGATCAAGTGCAATGAGGAGGATGAGATACATTCGATGTACTAGGATTATGTTGACTGTCAAAGGTGGCTGTAACAACAAGAGTAGCTCTGTAACCCACTAACTAAATGTAACCGACCCTTACATGTGCAGCCACACAGTGTTAAAGAGAAACAGCTCTTTGTGTCCAGAGCCTTAGTTTTGTATTCAAAGTCATTAAAAAGGTACTTGAGGTTTCATGCTCTAAGTAAATAACAGTATGATGTAAGCGGGATATTTTCCTTAAAAAAAATTATTTCGAGAAGAAGAAAAAATTGGTTTTCTTTTGTCTCTTATCTGACTGCTGAGCCCACTTTAATATAGTGATGCTCACCATGCTCACACTGACAGGAATGGTCAGTTTTAGGCCTTGTGAGTCCCAGGAGTGGATGAAGAAGTCATGGTGTCCTTCATGAAGATAAACTGATCTCTTTACCTGAAAGAAAACATTTTTTATAGATTTTTAAAGAAGCTAACATGTAAAAAACATTCAGAATTTGTCAAAGTAAAATTCAGTGATGTCCGTTAGCAGTCTATGATACAGTGCTCAGTCGTCGAAGAAACTTTTGCTCCTCTTTAAATATGTTGCAACATTTCAGCTTTCATGTCAGCAAAAGCTAAAATATCCTCAGAGCTAGAAACGCTCAGTTCTTTTCAGCAAAAAATCCCACAAACACTAATTAATCTAACATTGTCAGAGATATTTGTTGCAGTACATTCAAATGTTTACTACTTTCTGTTTACCCACAAAAACAGTACCAAGCAAGTCTTTGAATCTGCACTCACCATCAGTACACCGTCTGTCTTTACTACAAAACGTTTGTCAGAGGTGTCAAACAGAAATCTTGTGCGATCTGTGCAGTCAGTGAAGCCCACTGAGAACAGAGAGAGAATAGTTATTGTTTAATTACTGGAGTTCATGAAGAGAAAGAAAAATAAGTGGCACGTCTTAAATGCATAAGAACAAAGTAATAAAAACTGTTGTTAAATCAAATAGAAGTTAAGAAATATCCTATGCTTTGAAGGTCTATGAAGACTCATGTATCAAAGCTGCAGAAAAATTGGTATTAGTTGATATCATGCCTGGTATTACTTCGGCTACTCTATAAGTATGTTAACTGGTCTAGTCTTATTACACCTCCTACATATCTGCAAGCTGCTTTGAAACCAACTTCAGCTTCAGGTGTGGTGAAATGTGCACATGTGATGTGAGATGTTTTGTCATCATTGTAGCTGTGCATGACAAACAAATATTTTGATTAATATATTTTTGGTATGGTGACGTAGTGGTTAATACTTTGGCTCACAGCAAGATGGTCTTGTGGTACAAACCCAGGAGCTCCAGGTGCAATAGTTTTCTCACTTGTGAAAAATGTGTTTGATTAAGAAATTTCATCCCTGAAATTCTCAGCTATTTGAAATGTGCTGTTTGCTTTTAACCTGTTGATGGCCTCTCAGAAACAAATCCCTACTAACTGCAACTTTAAACCACTACTAACCAATATACAACCATTTCTGTTATTACCTTTGCCCAGTACTGTGCCTCTTGTCAGGTAGTTTCTCGTCACACTGAAAGTGAGCTGATCTGACTGAAACCCAGGTACACATACTGGCTCCTCAGCAGTCACTAAATTTGGAGGCTAGGACAGAAGAAACAGCATTTTAATGGTTGCCACGAATGATTCAGATTCCTTTAAACAATTACTTGTGCATGCAGTTGTAGGTAGATCATCAGAGACATTACAGAGTTTTCAAAAGTATCACCAAGCAAGAAAAAAAGAACTTATCAGTGCGGTTACTTTCTGGTTCCCAGCAAAATAAGAAAAAAGTGTTTATAAGTAGGACTTCCCTGGTGTAGGCACAGGGCGCAGGATGTTTAGTAGCAACATGTTTCAGTCAGCCGTGTGGTGTTGTGAGAATGAGGACCCAAAATGCAGGCATTGGCTGTGATGCAAGTGAGCTCTTTATTACACGAGGTGAAAAACAACAAAAGCGAGGATGACAAGGACAGAACTAAAACATAGCCTAAACTGGGGAAAAACTAGACAACACAAACACACAAACCTAAAACCATACAACCTCTGGACGAAGATCGGAAATGTCACAGAGAATGTTGGGCAGACAGATGCAGAAATTTCACCAGGTTACACAGACCAGGTGACAAGGAACACAGGCAGGCACACACTATAAACAGGGCTGCACATAAGTGGTCCGCGTGCGCTGTCAAAATAAAAGAGGTGCACCAGATAAGAAGTTGAAACGCGTGTTTGCGTACATAAGATTTTCTGGAGGAGGATAGACATTTGTTTAGAACTCTTAAAGATGTCGAAGAAGCTCCTTTAAGCAGTTACTGTGATGTTCCTCCACCTCCAAAGAAATGTCAGGAGTCCAAACCGCAAAAGAAGCGCGTATTCCTAGAAAAGTGGTTGCAGAAGGTGAGCTGGCTTCAAACAAATGATTGCGCGCGCAGAATGTGCCGCATACTCCCATACAACTTATGTGCACCCCTGACTATAAATACAGACAAGGTAACGAGGGAATGACATAGCAGAGGGGAACACAGCTGCACCTAATTAGACAAGACAAGGAAGTAAAACAGAATAAACTAACATGAGACAGGACCTTTCAAAGTAAAACAGAAACTTCACAAACACAAGCTCAGGGACATGAACAGAGCAGAGGGGGAGGACTCAGGCAACCAAAATCAGAAACAACTAGAACATAAGATAATAATAATACCAAACACAAAACGACCCAGGACCATGACAAAATCAGTGTTATTTGTTATCTATCCCTTATATTTGTTATCGTCCACCTGGGTCTTACAGAGTTTCTGTCTGTTTGCTCAGACTTTTTATCTGATTTAGTGCTCAGCTCAGTAAAATAATTATTGTGGGTGATTTTAACATCCATGTAGATGCTAAAAATGACAGCCTCAACATGGCATTTAATCTGTTTTTAGACTCAATCGGTTTCTCTCAAAATGTAAAAGAACCCACCCACCTCTTTAATCACACTCTAGATCTTGTTTTAACATATGGCATAGAAACTGAACATTTAACAGTGTTTCCTGAAAACCCTCTCCTGTCTGATCATTTCCTGATAACATTTATATTCACAATAATTGATTACACAGCGGTGGGGAACATCCATTGTTATCTTCCTCTATACCTTTTTACCAACACAGAGCAGAACAGCTTCCTGAACACTACTCCAACAGAGGTTGATTACCTTGTTAATAATTTTAACTCTTCTAAGTATGACTCTGGATACTGTAGCTCCTGTGAAAAATAAGGCCTCAAATCAGAAGTACTTGAATCCCTGGTATAACTCTCAAACACGTACAACTGATACTTTGATACTTATTTAGTCTTTTTGTCCAATTGATCGTTCAGTCAGGTTTCAGAGCTCATCACAGCACAGAAACAGCTTTAGTGAAGGTTACAAATGATCTTCTCTTGGCCTCTGACAGTGGACTCATCTCTGTGCTTGTCCTGCTAGACCTCAGTGCAGCGTTCCATACTGTCGACCATAATATCCCATGAGAGCGATTAGAACATGCTGTAGGTATTACAGGTACTGTGCTGCAGTGGTTTGTATCATATCTATCTAATAGACTCCAATTTGTGCATGTAAATGGAGAGTCCTCTTCACACACTGAGGTTAATTATGGAGTTACACAGGGTTCAGCGCTAGGACTAATTCTGTTTACATTATACATGCTTCCCTTAGGCAGTATCATCGAAGACATCGAAGCATACATTTTCACTGCTATGCAGATGACACCCAGCTCTGTCTATATCGGATCTATATCTGATATTCTGTCCTGTTACCTAACCAACCAAAATTTCAAATTCAATTTGGAAATTGTGGATTCTTTGGGTTAAAAATGTGACAGAGTGCACTGCTTGTCGTGCAGTTGAACCCCATCTTACACTTGAACTCAACTGTAACACACCTCCACAGTGATTTTTCAGAGAATGCTTTACGTATTTCAGCAAGACTATGCCAAATCTTTTTCTGCATGCAATCCAACAGCATGGTTTCATAAGAGCAAGAAGTGTCTGCAGGCTAGACCTTTCAGTCACTTGAATTCAAGAAAAATTCAATTCAGCAGAACTGGAAATGAAATGAGAAACATAGCAAAGGACATTACAAACTATTAAGAATCTAAAATCTTTATCAGTACCGTATAGAAAAAAGTAAAGGCTTCTGAAACTGTAGCAACTGGTCCCATTAAATATAGAAAAGAGTGTTGTTAGAAGAGGTGATGCAGCAGAGTTGTGCTGTCACTGTCATCTATAAACAAAAACTCAATTTTATCCTCAATTTTTAAAAATAGTAAAAGAAATAGTAAAAAAATGTCTTGTAGAACATTTGAACTAATATTCAGTATTAAAATGATTTTGAAAATGCAAAATATGTAATATGATTTAATATATAAATATGTAAGATATCTAATTCTTACCTGAAAAACTGTTAAAATGCACCAAATTACAAACCAAATGCTCCCCATGTCTTTCTCTCAGTGAAGGCAGAGCACAATAACCAATGATCTTGTTTCCTGAGGGTAGTTACAGCAACTGAACATTCACGTAGACGAGTCTACTTTCAGTGCATGACGTCAGCTTGTAGAAGCTCTGGCTCTGTTTTCCTGATATGGTCATGCACACTAAACACACCTGAGCAGACAGATTTCAGTAGTTTCTGTATTTATGAACATGTAACAGACATACAACATACACTCTGCAGCATAGAGAAAGTTCAGCTTCAAAAAATAAACTATTAAGAGTAAGTCATGTAACTTCTGTTTGGTCTGTTTGGAATACCATCTGAATAGAATCAGAATTGCAACAGTTTTGTTCTTCAGCATGACAGTGACCCCAAACACACTGCCAGTGCAGTAAACTCATACCTGGATATCAAATACACAATGGAATACTATCAGTCATGAACTGGCCTGCCCACAGGCTGGAGTTCGACATTATTGAAACATTTTGGAGACGTCTTGACAGAGAATGTAACAAAAAGCAGACAACATCCAGATAAGAGCTCTGGAATGTCCTGAAGACCTATCCTGAAAAATATTTAGAGAAATTACAAGAAAGCCTGCCTAAGTGAGTTTAGGATGTGGTGAAGAATAAAAGTGGTCGTTCCAAATACTGACTTTTATGCTCATTTGAACTGTACATAGTGTTTTCATCTAATATACTGTGTTTGTTTATTATGATAGGATCCCCTATCATAATAAAACAATTAGAAATTACCCAAGATTTCTGCACAGCACTGTAAAACAGGAACTTTCTTTTAGTGTACACTAATTCTTCACATTACACAAGTCATATAAATGAAATCTAATGAGCTTATGTGGAAATCCAAGCACTATAATAGGAAATCTGACTTAAATTGCTTAAATGTGACAAGCTGGTTTGTGTTTTCCAAACTGCTGATATGTTGTAAATTTTCATGTACAAATATATCTAGGGTTTACAGAGAATGGTCTGGAAATGAAAAATATAAGTGAAATCAATGTGACTGCTTTGTTCAAAAATGTTTTTTTGAGAACAGAGATCAGTAAAGAATTGCTGGACTGGTTTTATCTGATAGAAAGTCAACAGTAGAAAAGTATATGAAATGTGGCAGAAGATTTTTGCTATGTGACATAGAAGGTCATTATTGCTTTGCAAAGGCAAAGCATGTAAACTGAAAGATGGACCTTTTTTCAATTTTTGAATTCAATTGCAAATCCGTTAGAGACTGTTAGCTGTTAGCTGTCCAAATACTAAATCCCAGGTAAAAATTTACACACACAGACTAATATATATAACACCCAGCACGCCCCTGCGGGCGGTTTATCCTTCAAGCTCGGGTCCTCTACCAGAGGCCTGGGAGCTTGAGGGTCCTGCGCAGTATCTTAGCTGTTCCCAGGACTGCGCTCTTCTGGACAGAGATCTCCGATGTTGTTCCCGGGATCTGCTGGAGCCACTCGCCTAGCTTGGGAGTCACCTCACCTAGTGCTCCGATTACCACGGGGACCCTCCACATCCTCTCGAGCTCTTCTCTGAGCCCTTGGTATTTCTCCAGCTTCTCGTGTTCCTTCTTCCTGATATTGCTGTCATTCGGAACCGCTACATCGATCACTACGGCCGTCTTCTTCTGTTTGTCTACCACCACTATGTCCGGTTGGTTAGCCACCACCATTTTGTCCGTCTGTATGTGGAAGTCCCACAGGATCTTAGCTCGGTCATTCTCCACCACCCTTGGGGGCATCTCCCATTTTGACTTCCAGGTTATACTCGGCACAGATGTTCCTGTACACTATGCCGGCCACCTGGTTATGGCGTTCCATGTATGCCTTGCCTGCTAGCATCTTGCACCCTGCTGTTATGTGCTGGATTGTCTCTGGGGCATCTTTACACAGCCTGCACCTGGGGTCTTGCCTGGTGTGATAGACCCCAGCCTCTATGGATCTTGTACTCAGAGCTTGGTCTTGTGCTGCCATGATTAGTGCCTCTGTGCCGTCTTTCAGTTCAGCTTTGTCCAGCCACTGGTAGGATTTCTGGATATCAGCCACCTCCTCTATCTGCCGGTGGTACATACCGTGCAGGGGCCTGTCCTTCCATGATGGTTCCTCGTCTCCCTCCTCTTTCTTGGGTTTCTGCTGCCTGAGGTATTCACTGAGCACTCGGTCAGTTGGGGCCATCTTCCCAATGTATTCTTGGATGTTCCTTGTCTCATCCTGGACTGTGGTGCTGACACTCACCAGTCCCCGGCCCCCTTCCTTCCGCTTAGCGTACAGCCTCAGGGTGCTGGACTTGGGGTGAAACCCTCCATGCATGGTAAGGAGCTTTCTTGTCTTGATGTCAGTGGCTTCTATCTCCTCCTTTGGCCAGCCTATTACCCCAGCAGGGTACATGATCACGGGCAGGGCGTAGGTGTTGATGGCCCGGATCTTGTTCTTACCATTCAGCTGACTCCTCAGGACTTGCCTGACCCTCTGCAGGTACTTGGTGGTTGCAGCTTTTCTAGCGGCCTCTTCGTGGTTCCCATTCGCCTGTGGGATCCCCAGGTACTTGTAACTGTCCTCAATGTCTGCAATGTTGCCTTCTGGTAGTTCAATCCCCTCAGTTCTGACTACCTTCCCTCTCTTTGTTACCATCCGACTACACTTCTCCAGTCCGAACGACATTCCAATGTCATTGCTGTATAGCCTGGTAGTGTGGATCAGTGAATCGATGTCTCGTTCACTCTTGGCGCATACACAAAATTCGGTTCGGTTCGATACTTTGGTGTCACGGTTCAATATTTTACGATACAAAAAAATGTTCATGCCTTTTTAATTTGTCATTTATAAAAATTATAACTATATATTATAACTCAAAAGTAGTTTTTAAATTTAATGTTACTGAAACAACAAAATAATAATAAAAAAAAATCTATCTGATGGAGAAATCACTCATCTTTGGAAAAGAGAGTTTATTACAGAGAAATGGCTCTTTCCAAAATAAAAGCTATACAGGGAGTGCAGAATTATTAGGCAAATGAGTATTTTGTCCACATCATCCTCTTCATGCATGTTGTTTTACTCCAAGCTGTAGAGGCTCGAAAGCCTACTACCAATTAAGCATATTAGGTGATGTGCATCTCTGTAATGAGAAGGGGTGTGGTCTAATGACATCAACACCCTATATCAGGTGTGCATAATTATTAGGCAACGTCCTTTCCTTTGGCAAAATGGGTCGAAAGAAGGACTTGACAGGCTCAGAAAAGTCAAAAATAGTGAGATATCTTGCAGAGGGATGCAGCAGTCTCAAAATGGCAAAGCTTCTGAAGCGTGATCATCGAACAATCAAGCGTTTCATTCAAAATAGTCAACAGGGTCGCAAGAAGCGTGTGGAAAAACCAAGGCGCAAAATAACGGCCCATGAACTGAGAAAAGTCAAGCGTGCAGCTGCCAAGATGCCACTTGCCACCAGTTTGGCCATATTTCAGAGCTGCAACATCACTGGAGTGCCCAAAAGCACAAGGTGTGCAATACTCAGAGACATGGCCAAGGTAAGAAAGGCTGAAAGACGACCACCACTGAACAAGACACACAAGCTGAAACGTCAAGACTGGGCCAAGAAATATCTCAAGACTGGTTTTTCTAAGGTTTTATGGACTGATGAAATGAGAGTGAGTCTTGATGGGCCAGATGGATGGGCCCGTGGCTGGATTGGTAAAGGGCAGAGAGCTCCAGTCCGACTCAGACGCCAGCAAGGTGGAGGTGGAGTACTGGTTTGGGCTGGTATCATCAAAGATGAGCTTGTGGGGCCTTTTCGGGTTGAGGATGGAGTCAAGCTCAACTCCCAGTCCTACTGCCAGTTTCTGGAAGACACCTTCTTCAAGCAGTGGTACAGGAAGAAGTCTGCATCCTTCAAGAAAAACGTGATTTTCATGCAGGACAATGCTCCATCACACGCGTCCAAGTACTCCACAGCTTGGCTGGCAAGAAAGGGTATAGAAGAAGAAAAACTAATGACATGGCCTCCTTGTTCACCTGATCTGGACCCCATTGAGAACCTGTGGTCCATCATCAAATGTGAGATTTACAAGGAGGGAAAACAGTACACCTCTCTGAACAGTGTCTGGGAGGCTGTGGTTGCTGCTGCACGCAATGTTGATGGTGAACAGATCAAAACACTGACAGAATCCATGGATGGCAGGCTTTTGAGTGTCCTTGCAAAGAAAGGTGGCTATATTGGTCGCTGATTTGTTTTTGTTTTGTTTTTGAATGTCAGAAATGTATATTTGTGAATGTGAATCAGAATCAGAATCAGAATACTTTATTGATCCCTGGGGGAAATTATTTTTTGTTACAGTGCTCCATTTTAAACCAACATTAAGACAAGACAGACAATACGCTAACTAAGAATAGTACAATATATACATATATATACATACATACATACATAAGTCACTTATAAATAAATAGTTGGAAAAGAAACGTGTAGTTGTAGCAGCAAACAGTGTGTTAAGTGGATGCGTTGTACAGGGAGATGGCCACAGGCAGGAATGATTTCCTGTGTCGTTCAGTGGTGCATCATGGGTAATCTCAGTCTCTCACTGAACGTGCTCCTGTGACTGACCAGCATGTCATGGAGTGGGTGGGAGGTGTTATCCAACATTGTCTTTATCTTGGACAGCATCCGCCTCTCCGACACCACCTTGAGGGAGTCCAGCTCCATCCCCACAACATTGCTGGCCTTACGGATCAGTTTATTAAGTCTGTTGGCATCTGCGACCCTCAGCCTGCTCCCCCAGCATGCAACAGCATAGAGGATCGCACTGGCCACAACAGACTCATAGAAAATCCTCAGCATTTTCTGGCAGATGTTGAAGGACCTCAGTCGCCTCAAAAAATAGAGACGACTCTGGCCCTTCCTGTAAAGTGCTGTGGTGTTTTTAGCCCAGTCCAGTTTATTGTCAATGTGTACTCCAAGGTATTTATAGTCCTCCACAATGTCAACACTGACCCCCTGGATTGAAACAGGGGTCAAGTGTTTCCTGGTCTTCCTGAAGTCCACGATCAGTTCCT